GTAAATGAAGACTTGATTTGCATAATTAATGAGAAAATTTTATAATATATGTAATGATAACTGCCTGGAATTTCATACCTGTGGTATTTGAAAGTTCAGTGAATGTGGACATCATTACACATAATGTATTCAAATCCGGACCTCATTTGCATAATTTATGAGGAAATGCTAGAACGGCATAAAGATTAACATCATTTGGCGAAGGTATGAGATCAGGGAACTCTAGTTGCCAATCAATTACTACATGTAAAATGCCAGATCACTCAAATCAACAGTGGAATTACTCTATAGCTAGTAGGTAATATTCTTAAACTGGTCAAAAATCTTCTAATTTCAGTTTCATGAATGAATGCATTTAGGGAAATTCTAAAAAAATAACTGACCACGACTTTGGAAATGTGCCCTATCATAACAAAAGCCAACTCTGGCAATAGGTCAGACTCAAAGGCACTGACAAGTACCCATTTCCATCAAACATCACTCTAAAGATACAGGACTGGTCGACAGTCTTTTTACTTCCAGGCCCCATTACTGCTGGAGTCACTTGTCTGAAATATCACCTACCAACTAATGGGTCAGTTATTCTAGAGAAATCCCTAGGGATGGCAAAAATTAGGTCAGTTGACACTGTTGTGTGGTAAACAAGGCTGGCAGAGTTTGATGATACTGTACTGTAGTGAATGGCAATCTTAGCTATATAAATACATGTACATATGTCTACAAACATAAGCAGTTTGGCCCATTGAAATAAAATTATAAAGGCCTGCTTGCAACTTATTGATATTATTACCTCTGTAAAATTTTTTGAGGTCAGTCTGTGTGTGTGTCTGTGTTTCTGTAGATTTGTGGTCAGCATACACCGAATGTAACTTCAGATTCAGAACTTCAATCAGATTTAGAAGGCCTTATGGATTGTGATTTGGTTTGTGGGAAAGTCTTTGGAAGACAAAGAAGATTAAGGTCAAATGTGCACCTCCTGATGGCTGACATTGGTATTGCAGCAGAATTTCCAGTGTTTATATCTTAATGTCCTGGACATGCTATATGGTCTTGATTTTTTGGTGGCAGATATCTTTTAATGTCAGAAATAAGTGGTATGTGTTTGGCCCCCTACCAGTTTGCTCTGGAACTGCAAGGGACCTTTCAAAGCATGAAAGATTTTCATGGCATGTAGGTAGCTTAAAATGTACACTCACTCACTCACTCACAGTCACACATAGTTGCTTTAATGCAAATTGGGGACTGATAATCATAACCATGATTTCACTGAGGGAGTCACTCCATACCATATGTATAGGTTTTGGGCCTCCAAGTAACGTTACAATCCCATTGTACTACAGCGTTACCCCCCGTAACTTCCTGTTTCTTCTTTTTTTTTTGTTCTGGACATGCCATGGTCTTGATTTTCTCATGGAAGGTTAGGTTTCGGCCCTTTAGCAGCTTGTTTTCGAACTGCAGGAACATAGTCAGTTCCATACATTGTATCAAGAATGCAACATGATGGTGAATTTTTTGGTAACCAATGTTATTAAACTTAACAACCCATCCAACTAGTGTTTACAATTACAGCCAGAAGAGAACCAAACAGAAGACCATGGGTGTCAAAATTATGATCAATTATGCCAGCTGTTTACATTTAAGACTTTCAACATTTCAAATTTTACAAATATTTCTATGACTTCTAGTGTTTAAAGTACATTACCTTTCAACACACAACATAGTATGATACTGACTTCAGGATCATAACATGTCCACAAGACTAGATATCATACCCATGTATCCTACTGCAGTACTCTACAAAACCGATAGAGTGCCCGAAATCGATCTTGGCCTTCGTTTTCCCAACCACAACCTACCAACCAAATATGAAGATACATGCACCACAACCCAACAAGTTTAAGAAAATCAGCAAACCCTATATGGTATACCTAAACACATAACCTTCTGACAAAGGTAAAAAGACCCTGGCTGCCACACATCCTGTTTTGCAGTTTTAAGGACCAAAACATTCAATCAGAGATAATCAGAGATAAATCTAAGTTAAGTAAAGTAGTCTTCTTATGGCCATATTGTCTGATTGGTCTACAAAAACATTACATTAGCGCATTTACAATTCACTCATTTAACATGTACTACATGCAAATGCAAATCACCAAGTTACAATGGAACAACTGAGCACAGATTGCTAAGTACACATGCATTGTGGCATTATTGGCATCAAACATCTATGATGTAGACTCAACTTTGCTGGGAAATGTATTTATAATGACATGTAGTGACTAAATTTGAATTTTGATTCAATATTTGAATTTTGATTCAATATACAATAGAAGTTTTCATTATTATTTTTATTTTACAAATGCAAAGGAGTTGTCAGTATAATAAATTATAATTCATGTAAATATCTTGAATGATGTCATCAAGCGATGCCATCTCTGACCTGTCTCCAAGGAGATAACCCTTAACCCTTCTGTCTTCCTGGCCTAAGGAAAACCAGGAAAGGTCTGACATACAAGGTCAAGGGTCCAGTTACTAATGAGCTTCCCAGGAAGTCTTACCCTGTGGAATACTCTATTCTAACAGCTTGGGGCTATCATACTACATTGGTCCTGTTTACAAAGGGCAAAAATATTATTTGTCCTACGCCATTTTTGTGGTGCATCCTGAACATGCCATGGCGGGCAGGCTAAAAAAATCTGAAAAAAAAATCTGTCCTACAAAACACTGTGGACCGTCCTAGGACAAATGATTTTTTTTCCTATATTATAGGATGTATTCTGCCATAGGAAAATTAAAGTTGCGTTTCTGGTTTCAGTCCTGAAAAAACTAGGGTCAGTAGGTAGGAGTCTTTTTTTGTTTTAGATTTCAGCTAAAATGACCTGGAGTATAAGTGACTATAACATGTCACAATGCATGGGGACTGTCTCACAGACCCTTTTTCTTGTGGACAGATTTGTCATCCGATTCACTGAAGGAAAAAAAATTGCTCTTGAAAATGCGATAAATGACATTTCAGACTCGGAGGGTTTTCAATTTAGAATCAACCCAGAATGTTTTTTCCGTCAACTCAGTTTTGTTTGACGCAACATCATTGTCTGGGAGCATGCTCTATATAATTAACTCCCAGAAATCTTGACCATCTGAAATGATATTTCTTGTATTTTCAGCAAATTTTACTGCTTGACATCTCTTTCCATATCTTCAAATGCCAATTTTTGACAGTAAAAGACGAGTCAAGAGTGGCAAAATTCTGTCAAATGACCAAAAGACTGGCAGTGGCGAGAACACTAGGCCTGGCAGGAATGTTTTGATAACCGGTCTATCTTTCTTTGCCCAACATTTTGCAGGACTGAACAGCTGCCCTCAGCTGCCCTGGGGAGCCCCCTTCTCTCCCACAGGCTTATATCAATCACACCTTTCCACATCTCCCAAAAATGGACCAAGCAGACAGATGCTACAAGTACAACTCTTTGTCTTCTTAAAATCTTTCAACTACATTTTCAACTCTCCTTGAAGTGCAGTCATAATAAAAATTCTAACAATTTCATGGGGGCCAGCCATCAAGGTATAAAAAGTGAAGCCAACTGCTATAGAATTTCTAATTGTATTTACACTATCATCAAGCATTTGGTAACAGCACTGTGTGACTGGGAAGTGGCAAGTGTGTGATGGGCAAATGTTTCTGTTTATCTGGCCATTTGTTATGATTACACGCCAAGGTTGTTTTTCTTTTTTTTTTTAAAGAAAAGCTATCATACAGAAATAATTGGATGAAGTTTAAATGTATCCTAGGCCATACCAATTTAATTTCTTGGTTAACGGATTCGCCGCTTCATTTTTTCTGATTTGCAAATAAAAATAAAAATAAAAATTCAGAATCACTGCAAAATGCTCATATTTTGCCCTGAACAGTTGAAAACAGTCCTTTTCGTCCTAGTTGTTACAGTTAGTCCATCTTTCAATGCAATGGTATCATTAAAAGTTCAAAATTCATTGTTTAAATTTTGAACCAGCCTGGTGTGTTGACTTCATGGCTCCTATTGTACCATTTTGGGCCATAATACTACATGTAATAGGATGCCTAGGCCGTTTTTTTTTTTTTTCGCCCGCCCGCTCAATTATTTTTCTAGAAAAATCCGTTAAGCAAGAAATTAAATTGGTGTGGCCCTAGGATGGGATGTGGACATTTAGACTTTCCGGTGGACATTTGGGACATATTAATATGACCTATCACAACAGCCGAGGTGGGCTGAATTTGTGCAAAATTATCCTACACTTCAGCAGATTTGGACATCTCTGGTTCACATCAAATCTCGTGGAAGTTCCTCAATTCTTACGATAAGCTTGATTCTGAGAATTAGTACGAAGTTCAGCACAGTCATTAATTCTTCAGTTTTAGTTTCAATCTGTTCTTGTTTTTGTTTGTGTATGATGTTCTCTGTTTATATCTGCACGTTTGCAGTTGTTTTCGTAGTGGCCTCTCTACAGTAAAATCATAACACGAATAGAAATGCTAGTAGTAGACTGGTTTATACGAGTTTCCACTGTACTACTACTATAGCACAGTGATTACTACTATTTGTTTTTAAAAACACTGTGAAAACCCCCTTTCATCTCCTACCCCAAAATTAGATCCCTGCAAACAAAATAATAATACATTTCTATTTGGCCTAGGACTGAAAATACAACATAATAAGTTTTCCTTTTCTTGACATTAAGATTCACGCTTTACTAGTCATTGCCTATAAAAAGTTCTCTTGTTCTGAGAACACAGGATGCATGCTGCACAAGTCCGAAGTTGGGGGATTACGATTTACACTTACAGTACTAGTATATTTTACAGTAATCCACAACACACACTCCCAATTCAGTAAAGAATTGTAAGCGTCTCTTTCCTCTCTAAAGTCTGTTTGATGTAAACTATGTGTTAATTGAGTGTCCAACATTCCTGTACAGTACACGAGTCGATGAAAACCGAAACGTCGTCTGTGTGTACTTACGTTGGCATCGCCTGGTGGACCCCTGACGGAACAACTGATGGCTGCTGCCCTCTTACTCAAAGCGTCGTCTGACGGTCAGAAATAATACCTTTTCCCGCTCTCCACGCAAGGTTTACGCCGATTTTACGTCATACTTGGAGCATGTGAAAGCCAAGGAAACATATTCTGACCAAAACGTCTTGAGAAATCTCCAAGGAGCGCGAGAAACGACGTCAGAAGAGAATGGAAACAAAGCAGGATCGTCCACGACTTGGGATGTCTGCTTCGCTTCTTTCTACGAATCTCGCCAAATCTCGCTCGAAACTGAGTTCACGTGACCGTTAGGGGCGAGAGTTGGTCCTCGGTGATTCAGCCTGTGTGAATCAGAGGACAGGAAGGAGTGTCTGCATGTACTTTTCCGTGAAGCCATTTTATTTCACCGTTGACGGTAGCTTTCGTTCACCATTTGGTAAGCTTTGAGAGAAATCATTCGTTTATAATAAGTGTGATGGGTCACTTTAATTACACGTAGCATGTTATTTGTTATCCTAAATCCATCCTTCACAAAGCGATTAACGTTGATATTGAAAAAAATTCGCATGATACGTGTCAATTTATATATATTAATATACGCCAAGGGGCCTAAAATCATAAAGGAGCGTCCAAGATCCGCAAATAGACAACCCATTCTAAAGAAGAAGAAAAACACATTCTAAAGAGGTCACTTGAAAAGCTGAGGTGATATCGGTAATTCTGTATCATAAGCGTTGCCAGGATCCCCCATGCACACCCTCGGGAAAAGTGTCGTAATAACGTCTACAGGTGAGAGTCCAGGTATGCCATAATGGTTAGAAAGGTCTGACTCACAGCAAATTATAACCGCAAAGACGAGTGAATCATTGTCTCAAACTAAACCCTTACGACAGAAAGAAAAGCTGAAACCAAGGAGGTTATTATTAAAAAATGTCACTGAAGTTGAAACACAATGTTGTGTTGTGCAAATTAATGCTACATGTAGCATTTAAGTAATGTCAGCAAGCGACACTTCCGGGATTTTAAATACTTCGCGATCGTGGCTTAATTTCCGTTTTTCACTCGTTTTAAACATTCTAAAAAATGATACACACGTATATCCAAAATAAACGATTGCAGTTTGTTTTTAAAAAAGGTCGAAACGGTGTCTTTAGAATAACGGGGTTCAAACACGGAAGTGAACATTTATAACAGCTATACAACACATGATTTGAATTATTATGGGTTCACCACACCACGAAGTGGTGTGGTGAAACCATATTGCTTTTTCTGATGTTTCTTCTTCTTCTTCTCCTCCTCCTCCTTCTCCTCCTGCCATTTTTTAAATGGATTCAGCTTCTTCATTTTAGGGCCCAAGGTCCTGAAATTTGGTATGGAGGTACAGTGGGCAAATACCCCTAGGCGTTTTTTAAATTATTGTGATACAGGCTTTTAGAATGGTTTTATTTGAGTTTTTTTGGCTGTGTTATAGCAAATGTATTACTGTGTTAGGGTGCCTTGTTTACCACGTTTGGACATGAGTCATCACAATGGAATGCAGGGCATCAACCAATAGGCATGCAGCTTTCCTCCATACTTCTTGCTGATTGGCTGTTGGGATTTAACTTGATTAACACCTGCACAGAAGCATTTCCATACTGACAGTATGTCTGTATTCAAGTGTTTTGGTAGGTATTTCAAGCTTTCCTGCTCCAGCAGTGGAATGCCGGGCATGGACGTTTTTTTTTTATTTCGAAAATCAACAGTTTGCATTATGCAATTAAAAATCCTAACCAATAAAGTAGGGAATATCTATCCAACTGTTGTTTTAGTTGTATTTTACTTCATATTATAGTTATATCAATGTAAATCATTGTTTTCCCTTGTGTTTCTCATTCTGTCCCTGCCATGTCGTAAAATGTGGTGAACCCATCGCTGTATTTGCTCCAAAGCAAATATTGGCCTTTCTAGTTATGTGTGCGTTGACAACAAATTATCATAGATATCAGAAACATTATTATGTAGGTCATATTCCGTCATAATATTAAATGAATGCTCACCTGCGATGTTTCAGCATAGTCAAACCTGTTGCTCTCAGTGACTGTCACGGTGAATCATCACAAAGTCGAGATCCGATCTGCTATTTAAACCGTCCGCCGACTTCTAAGAACTCGGACAAGTTAGAACTTGCCTACCGACGGCGTCTGGACGGATCATAACCTTTGAACGATTGGAGCCTTGAAATAGAATGAGGAACGGGGCGTGAGCATGTCCGACCCTGTAGACCAGCACGGGTAGATGTCCGGACTGGAACCTTGTAGCAGTTTCATTTTCATTGTTAACGCTGCACACATTGTGTATTAAGCATTAGGACGGTACCATTGTACAAAAAGGAAATTTCTAGTCAGTTCTTTACCAAGTATTCGTTAAAACAACTCTAACCCGATCCATTGCAAGTAAATGACATTCAAAATTAGGAAGTGGAGGTACCGAAATACATATGACGCCGGCCTATACTCAGTGTGTTTAAAAGCTGGAAACACAACTTGTCAGCCATGTTTGTTTACATTGGTGGTGCCACAAAATTAGTGCGCCTCGTGTGGTCTGTTTTATTTTTAGTGAGAAACGTAAATGTCAGAAATGTGAGATAATTGCACAAATGTGTTTTAAAGTGGAACTAAATAACAATCACACAAATATTTGTTTGCATTAAAATATTTCAATTTTTTGTAAAAAAATGTTCCATACACAATAGGCTTTTAACTCAGACTGCGTGATCACAATATGAATATTATGTTAACAGTGTAACATATGTTAAATTTCATTTCCTGTCTGCAAATATAAAGCTTCGGTCACAACCCGCCATACGTGCTTTTTGTCCGTACGTTTTTTGGGAGGCTACGTCTGCTACGTTTTTTCTGAAAACGTGGGGAAGGAGTGGCGTCGACGCACGTCACTCGCACGTCACTCGCACGGTTGCGCAAGGTGTGGCCGTGAGCGGTTGCGTGCATCGTACGTTGCGCAAGTGGTAAGTGAATTGTACGTGTTTACACGTGACGATCTCTGTGCGATTGCAACTCATACCGTATATAAGGAGGCCGTACTCACACATGCTTCTAGTACGTACGGGGCACGCGTGTCGCCCCTACTCGCACGTACGGGTGGTGAATCCGCAGACCGCACGTAGAAAAAGTTTTACGTGTCTGCGTGCTCCCAAATCCGTAGGATTCCGTACGGAGGCGGTACTCACCACGCACGGATGCCCTACGTTTGGCCACGTTTTTGCACGTAGACAGCACGCAGAAGCACGTACGGCGGGTTGTGACCAAGGCTTAACTCATCACTTACTTTTCTAGCGACAAAACAGAATTGGTATGATTTGTAATTTTACCTGCTTCAGCCAATGAGGTTATAGCTCCCGTTGTATGCAGAGTGTACAGGAGTGCCAGAGTATGTATACAGTGCAATTTTACAATTGTACTGTATTCCGTAAAATTGCACTGTATACTCCGGCACCCCTGGTGTACGTGTTACGTTCAAAACAGTACTGCGCAACGCGGGGCACTGCCGCGTTGGACTCGGAGAACGAAGGACGAAACAGAAACCTTGCACATTGTGAGTTTACATTGTGGCATTGTAGGCCTGTATTACTACTTTATGGGCACGCGATTTCCTTTCCCAAGATGAGAATACAAAATTTTACTAGGGATAATCAATGATCAAGTGATCTATAAGAATAAGAGCGTAGACGGGCCGCCCTAATTCAACGTAGAGCGTAAGGCAATGTTTTTAATTATATGGATGACATCCACGCGCGCATGAATTTTCGGCATTTTCCAACAAAAGAGTTAAGTTTTCAACCATATTGTAAATCGTAGAGAACAGTTGCAAAATTATCAAATATATACCGTAAGTTGCAAAACAAAATATTGGAAAACGATACCAATGTCGTAGGATGCCAAAATCAAACGAAAAAGACGAAAATGTAAAGAAATGAATTTGAAGAGTAGATTATTCCCCATACTCTGTGTCATTTGTTCAACCTTCATGACCACGTAGATTTCATAATGAAAGCAACTTTTTTTTGCCAAACTTTTTTTATTCGCACGTTCCCAGAGGATATGCCATCCATATACTCAAATCAACTTGGCCTTACGGCTGGCACCTACCGTCTTCAAATTGGTCGCCGCCATTTTTTCGCTCGTAACGTATGACGTAACCGCAAAGTTCCAAAGGACTAATCCGATGAAATTTCACAGGTCGGCAAAACAAAACAAAACAAAACAAAACAAAATATTTTTGATAAGGAAATCTATTAGATATTGACATTTACTGCCCTTTCTCAGCACATATTCGTCATTATTTTAATACTTGAAGCGTTTGAAATTGTCCTAAAACAAGTCTCACCTCTTTATATTTTGGGTACCACCTGGTACCGTATCTGTTACCTGAACCTTTACGACTGGCTCAACAGAGCTAGTTGTATAGAGGTCAATTTTGTTTCAGATGACGTGAACCATGTATATGCATACGTAGTGCATGGAACTGGCTCCATGGAGCTAAATAAAAACCTGTCGCAGGGCTGCATAAATCGTTGTTACTTACGATCTCTCTCTCTCTTTCTCTCTCTCTATCTATCTATGTCTCTTTCTCTCTCTCTCTCTCTTCCTCCCTCCCTATATAAAACTAGTTCCCCCTCAAAAAATTAAGGTGGGTCTGGTATCTGGTTTCAAATTTCCCCCGCTGAGCTCAACCAATCAATAAGGGCCTCGTGAGTATCAAGTTTCCCCTCAACCAATCAAGACTGGCCTCCTAAGAATCCAATTTCCCCTCATATCCAATCAAGACCGGCCTGGTGAGTATCAAGTTTAGCCTTCAATTATCAACGAATCAAGAAGAGCCTCGTGTATATCAAGTTCACCCCCCCTGCCAATCAAAAAGGGCCTGTTGAGGATAAGGTTTACCCAAAACGATTTATTACCTCCATGAAAAATGGAGGTATTGTTTTTGGCGTGTCTGTCTGTATGTATGTCTGTGTGTGTGTCTGTCTGTGTGTGTGTGTGTGTCTGTCTGTGTTTCCGCAACTTTGTAGTCAGCATAACTTCAGAACGCCTTTATGGATTGTGATGATATTTGGTACGATGGTAAGTCTTGGAAAGACAAAGGTCAAGGTCAAGTATGGGCCTCCTGGTGGATGACCTTGGTACTGCAGCAGAACTTCCGGTTTTTGTATCTTTTGTCCTGAACATGCTATGGTCTTGACTTTTTCGTGACAGATAGCTAATCCTGTCAGGAATAAGTGGCGTAAGTT